TTTTATTTTGATGCAAAGCTAAAATGTTCAGTAAAAAAGTTTTTTTTTAATTTTGTTAACACCAATGTGTTTACATGACGGTTCCTTTTGAGATTTGAAGGCAGATCTGGAGCACAGCAGAGAGGGACTGGGACCTGTATTTAAGTTTTCAAACTAATCCTCCTTCCTCTAAAACTACTAAGCACTGTTTTCAAAGTCAGTGCCTTTAAGTTACACGTCAGTCTAATTGTACTGTTGTACTATATATGATAGTTCAGGGAAGCTGTAAGTTTTGTCTTTAGTATTTTAATATTTTCAAAATCAAAATGTTGGGGATGAAGAGCGATAACCAACACATCAGATACATTGTACTTCTACTAATGGCTGACTGCGTCCATCTTTTATGTACGTCCTTTGGATGTGTATCCTTTGTATACTTTGTACGACAAAAATCATAATCATGATTATCATTATATATTGGTAATAATAAACGTATTGATCAGTATTGAAAGTACAATTATATAACATAAATTACTCAGAGATTTTAAACCAGTTGCATTTACTGTACAGTACAAGAAGAGTGACATGATGGATGTTGACAGCTGAAGTTAACGGGCTCATTAAAAAGTTTCTGGAAAGTTGTCCTCCCAAAGTATACTTGGTTTATATTTTGTTCTGCTTTAAACGTTGTGCTCGGTGTTTAATGTAGTTTCTGAATGCGTCCAGTGGACCACACTGTAATGTATCTGCCTGAGACTCCTTGCATCACATCAGCTCAGGTCATCCCACTCAAATGAACTGACTCCACCTTTCTCTGACTACATGCTGCCCTTCTCCTCCTTTCTTTATTGTTCACTGTTGCGAAGCGAAGAGGGGGAAATGGAAATACCATTTGTCCATCAAGTTCATTTCTTTGTGTTGTGAGCATGATGGCTTTAAAAATAAGTGAGTTACTGCCTTCCACTTTGGTGTGTGGCTGCGTTTAGGTGTGAGAGAGGTCGCCATCAAAAAAATGTTTGCCATGTCAAAATCAAAGATTGCTGCCGCCATATTTATACATGTTTGTAGACTGGCCACCTCAAGTATTTGAGAAAACTATGCTTTCTAGTTTTTATGTTGTTTTAAAGTATAGTTTTCTCAGATGGTTGAGGTGGCTGTTACTCTGTGGTGGCCACCATTGGCCACCCCCTGGCTCCTCCATTGCACCTGGTCGTAGATGAAATGGTTCCCTCCACTCACAGGATTTATCAGTCTGCGCTGTCTTGAACAAGGAAAACAAACCTGTTCTTCTCCACAGTGCAACTCCTGCCCACTTGAATATCTTGCACCCAAAACATTAAGGTTTAGTTGCATTCCCTGTTCAATTCCAGTGCAGAAAACCACTCATCTCGAAAGATGTTCACTATTCAAATCCCTCAGCAACAGGAGACGTCAGCGTACCTCTTGTTGTTGTTGTTGATTCTCCATAGTAAACAGTAAACAGAGATCATACACGTGTAATCGAGGCATAAGTCAATCCAGTGGTTTTGACGCCCACACCTCAGCTGATGGTGATTCAGTTTATTTATTTAGCATCAAATCACAACAGAAGTTGTACAAAAACACTGCACTGTACAAAAACATTCACATACATGCACAAGCCAATTACTAAAAGTTATCCATCTAAGGAAGGAAACCAGCCGACGCTGCTCCGTGATGACGGAACAGAAAGCGAGGACTGAGGAAAATGTGGGTTTATTACAGCTGATATTGTAAAACAACAAAATCACACACCACAGAAGTTTTTTTTATATTGTGCAGCTCAAGTGAACAGTTTGACAATATTTAACAATATTAAATAAAGAGGGATTATAGTCCGAGACACAAGGATGTGTTGAAATGGACTGTTGGTGCCACAGATGGTGTCGGAGCGCAGACCCAGGCCAGGATGGCGGGCGTAGTTCAGCAGCAGTCTGGGTTCACACCAAGGAAATGCTGCGTCCACCGCTAAACCCTCCGAGGGTTCACTATTTATATAACCCACTGTTACTGTTTGAGTGGTTTTGATGTGGCTCGTGCACTGTCGAAATCTGCCTTTCCATGACTGATTCACAAAATTAAACATGTTTCTTATTTAGTGCTTCCCACAGACTTTTGTGTTCATTAATTTTTGTTGTCAAATTGATAAAAACCATTTCAAATAACCCACTCACAGCAAATTTCACTGAACACTCGTATTTTCCACGTATCTTATTTATTCGTCTTGATTTCTTTTTTTTTTGTGTGTGTGTGAAGGAACCTCAGTTTAACCATGACCCCTTATTTATTTTTGTCTTTTACACTTTTGGGTATGTTTTGTCGTCATATTTAAATAAAGACTTGGCTTGTCCTGTACGAAAAGAGTTAATTGACGATGTCACATGAAATGTGTTTGACTTTAGTGAGTTTCATCTTGAGTTGGTTGGTTTCAAACCTGTGGAGTTTCATAGATACGTCTCCACATGTGAAATACTGAGCCGCGTGTTTCTCTTAGCTGTTGACCTTTAACTTGTGCCGGCTGTGAACCGACTCTTGTTGTGAGTGGTGAGAGCTGGTGCTTGTTCTGTGATGTGGACGACTCCACGTCGACTTCCTGACCTTTCACCCTCTGAATATTCAGTCAAATAGGATGGAAGAAGCATGTTGACCCCTTATACCTTCATGGAAGCAGTTTTCTTTATGTAGTTTAAAAACAGTTAAAGGGAAAATACTTGAAAATACTTCCTTGTGATCCTAAAGTGATATTCTCAAAATCCAGCAACAGTTTTTTAAATACTTTTATTCGATATATTTGAACCGAAATGAGTAAAGTTCATATTCCCACACTGTGGGATGATTGCCACTCACAGGAGTGAAGGACTGCATTATCCTTGGAGCAGAGTAAAGTGACTCTGATTCCCTTCACATGTCGATCCTTAAGCCACTTGGTTTATTCCCATCCTGTTTAACTAGTTTTGACCTCGTAAATCTTTACTTCCCATTTCATTCAGTTTTGTATATTTGATGTACTCTTTGGAGCAGCATGCTCAGTTTTTAGGTGCCTGCTTTGTTCCCCATTGCAGAACAGAAGAGAACTGGAAAAGTGTATTTTTCTCAAATGATTCAAGGTTCTTTGTCATTCACATGTGGTACATGAGGTGGAATGAAATTGTGTACACAAGATCCCAGTTACCCCCCAAAATAGCAAACATATAAAGTATAAAAATAAACTGTATACAAGGAGCTAAGATGTACACTAAACAATAATAATGTAAAATAATATGGTATATTCACCAAAGTTTATGCTCATTAATCCAGTAAAAATCCAACAATGTTCAGTCAGGTCATCTGGACGGTTTCTTTTTTTGCTGAGACGTTTCGTCTTTCATCCAAAGGACTTCTTCAATCAGAGGAGCCACCAATCAAAACTGATTCCCACAAACAGCATACTCCATAGTGGGGAAAAAAAACAGTTTGCTGGTGCTATGATGGCCTCCGAGGCCTGCCCTCCCCCCCGTCAACTCCTCTGAGACAGTCATGCCAAAGTGGTTCAGAACACCAAAGTTCATGGTCAATAATCCAGGTACAAATCCAACAATGTTCAGTCCATTCATCTGGATGGTTTGTTTTTTTAATGGTATATTGAACAGCAGCCCTAACACGAGTCTGTAGTGGGCAGATGGGTATGAACACAGCAGCTTAAAGGCAAGAAATCAGCAGCATGGATGATCAGCAGTACAGATAAAGTGACATATCCCCAAATAAAGTGGCATTACAATGATTTTTTTTTTCTTGGTGATTTTCCTGGTTAGGGATTTATGAGTCTTAAGAGCTTCAAGCTGTTCAAGATTGGGGTGGCCAAAAGTTATTCGGTGGTGGCCACCATTTGCCACCCCCTGGCTCCTCCATTGTACCTAACTCCTGCCCACTTGAATATCTTGCACCAAAACAAATCTCTCGGCAACAGAAGACATTGGTGTACCGCTTGTTGATGTTGTGTATGCTGTGTGCAAAAAGGCTCTCAACCTTCAAAGGTTGGCCTCACACAGTTCACTTGTCCTCCTGGTTGCAAACACCCAGAATTTAGTAAGACTGCAAATGAAACGGGCACATTTTCTCACAGTTGTGAGTCGCCCATCAGTCTCCAAGAGCCCAGCCCAGTGAGATGGTAGCTTTAGAGGTGAGAGCAGTATCAAAGAAAATAAGATTTCCCTCAAATCGTATAAATAATAAACATGGCCGACAAAGCTAAATATTTCTAAATGTAAAAATTGTACAAATACCAAAAGTCAGGATGATGTCCTGAATGAGCTTTGTATATATGAATAGTTGAAATAAAATGAGTGGCTTCTAAACAGTCAATGACATCCTCCTTCACTGCCACTAAATGTGCTGCTGCAAACTGATAAACTCATAATACTTAATATTATAATAATTTAATAATCTACAATAAGGATAATTTAGCTAATTAGGCAGTTTTTTTCAGTCGGTGAGAGATCAGTCTGTTTAGTGAAGGCACTCTGTACCAGTTTATTGAGAAGTTGACTAGTTTCTGAGATATGAAACTTAATTTTCTAATAAAATCACGCACGATCAAAACCGTTCACTTAATGTGAGTTCAAAGTGAGATTTGACTCTACAACTCATTTAGCAGAGCATGAAGCTTGTTGGATATGGAAAAAATATTTAAAAAAATTGTGACTTTCTACAGAAGTTTACCTGTTTGTCGACTTTGTTTATAATGTTAATACTCGGGCTGTGTTTTAGGCTGTAGCGTTGTGTAGAATAAAACTGCAGAGCTGGCACTTGTAGGCATTATTTTTTCTACACGCGAACATGATGAAGACGCAGCAGGAGGCCCTCCACTTTCTGCTGGCTCTGGATTTTCATTTGGAGAGCCCAGACCTTTTGACTTCATGCAGCCATACCACAGCTGAGGCTCGACACGAATTCCCTGAACTTTGTAGATTTTGTCTATTTCTTGTTGTGTAAAGCTCATCGTGTTGTATTTTTCTTTTTTTCAGTTCTTATCAGTCAGTGGCAAGGTGAACCCAAGGAGCGCGTCATCTCATTGGTCCTTACACACCTCCCACTGCTCAAACCAGGCAACACTGAAGCCAAGGGCGAGTACATGCGTCTGCTGCCACGCATCCTGGCCCATACCATCGAGCACGGCCACCACCTGGAGGAGTCTCGCCAGCTCCTGTCCTACGCTCTCATCCACCCTGCCACCTCTCTGGAAGATCGTGCTGCTCTGGCTCTTTGGCTTAACCACCTGGAGGAGAGGGCCGCTGCTTGGGGAGATTCACTGGAAAGACCTCCTCCTGCTGGGCCCCACCATCACCAGTCCACACCTCCGTCCACTCTCACCTCATCAGGATCCACAAACACCTCTTCATCGGGCAACCTGTACAACCTTCATCACCAGCGCTACGGTTCAGATGACCGTCTCAACGGCTGGCAAAATTCACGGGATTCAGGAGTCGGCGGAGGCTGGCATCAGCAGCAGGGCTGTGAGAACGGACACCTCCTGCTGTACCCATCGTCCTCTGTACCAGCAACCATCAACACAGTTGGAACTAGTGGGGGAAATAATACTAGTAAGTATCCAGTTGGTTTATTTTACTGTTTCAGCATCTTTAAAATGTGCAAGTTTAGCAGCAGCCTGCACAAAAACATCAAGTTTGCAGAATAATACACTAAATTATACAATTCCATGATTACTTCATTAGAATTAGATCTCTTAGTTTTAGATCTCTCTTTCTTTGATGGAGTGTTGTGTACACTTTTCATAACTGCAGCTTCAAGGTCACAAATGAAGGTTAAAGTTTAAAGAAGGTCTTTGCTTGTCCAGCCCGTTGCTGTAGATTGCTGTATAATAGTTTGTCAACGGGCGTTTAATGTGCCGTATACAGTGTCTTTGTCTAAGAAATCTAGTCAAGCAGACCTTATTCACATGGAAAGACTGTTTTTTCCAAAACAGTTTTTTTCATTTGTAGTTTCTAATAATTTTCTTGTAAACTTGGCACCATTTCTAGAAATGTCCATGTTCACATGGAAATGCAGAAAATGACCCAATAAGCTCTGACAACTATGCAAACGGTGTATATGGTGCCATCATGCTGCCATGAAAACGCATTAAAGAAACTGGAACGACTGTGTGCACAACACTTATATGGTGGGGACAAACTTTAAAGACAATAAGGAGAAAAAGATGAGAATGTACAAAAACAATAAGAGTTTTTTGTGGATTACCAAGAAAGTGGAACTTCTGCTTCGTGTTGCATCAATGTAGAAGACCACAAAGAACATGGCAGTGTTGGCCGGGTATCGTCAGTCCACTTGTGTGGACATAACAAACACTTAACCCACGATGTCCAGCGAGGGACAGCTGAACGGTTTTTCTCACAATATTCAAAGCATATCAGTGGTGGCGCAGTTGGAGAAGATGGGCCTGTGATCGAAAGGTCGCCGATTCAACTCCCTGGACCGACGACATCAAAACGTGGGTGGGAAAGGTGAACCACACCTGCCTCCACTCTCATTTGCCCCCACTCTGGGCCCTTGAGCAAGGCCCTTAACTCCTCCATCTGCTCCTCTGGGTGTCCTAGATGGCAGCTCTCTGCTCCACACAGAGGCTGTGGTAGCTCAGTGTCTGTGGTTGCATCAGGAAGGACATTTGGAGTAAAAACAATCGCCAAGTCTTCGTGCGAGTTAGTTCCCTGAGGCGACCCCCGAAGAAGAAAGCAGCCGAAAGAGGATTCAAAGCATATCAGGATAATTTTTTCTACACAAGAATCAGACTTTTAAAATCATTCCTGTTTCCTACAGCTTTTTTAAATATATAAACTTCATGTACATTGAAGATCTTGTTGCTTTAATTTGATTGACGGTAGCATAAAGTGATGAATACCTTTTTGGCTGTAGATTATTTGGTGTGATATGGAGGTTTTTGCTCTGGTATTGTTCATCAGCCTTATCTCCACATTAAAAAACAACAGGATATGACTGCACATGAGCATGTAGTCTGTCGTTACGTCTGTCACGCGCCGGGTCTGATGTTGGGCAGAAAATGGGACTGACATAGTTTTCAAAATATATTGTGTTTTACACACAAACAAGTGGCTCCTCCAGGTTTTTGACCACCATTAAAGAGGTTCTTGAATTATTGAGTATTAAACTGAAGTCTGCGGAGCCAGACCCAACACTGCACACGGACTGCAGCATGTTCTCTTAAAGACAACGCTCAGAGAGGGCAGGGCTGTGGAAATTGAACATAACTATGGTCAGAGCAGGATATTTCCAGACATGAATGCAAGAGCTCAGTGGATTTTTTTCCTCTTTTTTTCCTCTGAGATGAAGGAAACAGCTGAGGGTTTATAAATAAAGGCACATTTAAAACTCTGCTCACAGCATCAAGAAAAATCCTCTTGCATTGTGTGAGCGCTCGCAGCCTCAGCCCCACACATAGACCTCAGGATTGCACAACTGATGCACACAACTAGCGTTACTTTAGCCTCTAGCACCAGGCTGGTGGTGGTCTGCGACATTTCTTCACCACTGAAGATGAATAGTTTAATTCACTACGAGCTAAATGGCCATTTGATGGTTCACAAAACCATAACCGTGCGTTATCAGTGTTTTGGTTTTCTGTTGATCTGGTTTTTTTTTTTTTCCCAAAGCAAAGGATATAACCAATAATTGTGGTGGTGAATATCCAACGTTGAATTGTTTTTTTCTGTCCAACATTTTATCCAGCCACGATGTTGACTGCAGGAATATAATTGTCCAACCACATCAACCTACTGATAGAACATCCAGATGACCCCCCCACTCATACGCTCAGCTTTAGTCCAAGCCACAGCAGCACATACCAACCGTCCTTTCCCTTGTAAGGCAGTCTTTGTGGGAGACTGTATTTAGAGAAAATAGCTAATATTTAGGGACTGGAACTTGAAATGTTAGCTGGGCAGCTATTTTAAACGGTCTCCATGAAGTCCTATACATAGCGCCAACAGTGAGAGGACCACATATAGGACTAGGAGGAGAGGCTGGAGTGTTGGTGGCAGTTTACCCCGTCAGAGAGGCGACACAAAAAGCTCTTTGGCTCAGCACCTTTTTATTCTGTTTACACCCTCGAGCTGTCTCTAGGATGCTGGAGCTCATTCTAATAATTAAATTGTATTTGTGTTTCGATTGCTACTTTTTGTTTTTTTTTAACTCAACGTTTTATTGTGAATTTATTTGAGTTTTAATGAGCACAAGAATAAAAGGTTTGACTGAATTCAGCAAGAATTTAAACAAACATGTTTGTTCCAGTTACTAACAGGTAAAAATTAAAATAGTGCATAAAAAGATGCAGAGTATTTTTTCATATTGCTTTTATACGAAATGGAAACACTAAGCTGCAGCTATTAAAGAGAAACCCGTTGTAAACCTAAGATACTAAAAATAAAGAGATAAAACAGATGATGTATCCCAAATGTTTGCATTAGGTCAATTTAACATTTAGGCTTAGCTATGCCGTAAAATATTATTATTTTAAATTTACTCTGAGTGGTAGCATAATTTTACAGAAGGAACAGGATGTTTTTTAATTTTGTATTCTTCTTCTTTCGGCTCTTCCCTCTTCAGGGGTCGCCGCAACGTCATCCCTCTCCGTCTCGCTCTACTTTGATGAACTCGTATTATAGTTTTGGCCAAAGTGTTTCACGTCTGATGCCCTTCCTGACACAACCCTCACATTTACCCGGGCTTTGGACCGGATCAAGAGCCTGTACTAGTGTGTAGACTTCATAATAGAAACTGTATAAGAAACCTTGGATTTCACACACTCGGACTCCCAGAGGATGTTTAATATTTATTAACCTTTTATTTAACCAGGAAAATCACACAGATCTTTTCCATGGAAGGCCTGGGCCTGAAGGCAGCCTAACATGCGTGTTTTTGTACTGTGGGAGGAAACGTGAGGAGAACGTGCAAACTCCACAGAAAGACCCAGGTCCAAACCGGGGATTGAACCCAGGGCCTTCTTGCTGTGAGCCACTAAGCTGTCATGCTGCCAAAAGGATAATTGCACTGCATTGATTTTATGCATCTTTCAAACGGAGGTCTTAGGACACATCGAGGGCAATGTGGGAGGTGTAGTGTTCACTTCGATACCTGGCAGGGCTTTGAATTCTTCCAACAGGAACACGCTCACTCATTTACAGAGGGTTGCATCAAATAAGTGCCTGTGAGAATTGTTTAGTCACCGTGTCTTACAATCCCCCTTTTGTTTAACAGTTCTTACAGGTGGGAGTGTAAGTCAGCAGCACAGCCCCCTAAAGCGCTCGGTGTCCCTCACCCCTCCAATCAGTGGCCCCAACACCCAGTCTCTGGGCCACGTATGGCTGTCCCAGGAGGATTTGCGGACTGCAAGAGGTCCGGCTCCAGACCACGCTCCTCTCTCCCCCCAGAGCAGCATCGCCTCCTCAGGCAGTGGAGGCAGTGAACATCTGGATGATGCTGGTTTAGGAGGGAGTTCAGGTCTGCATCGCAGCTCCTTCCATGAGGATGGGAGTGGCATGAGGGGTGAGTTTATCTGAAAAGTCTTGTATGTCTTAGCTCCATCAGGTCAAGAGAGGTCAACAGGTCTATAAAACAGTTACTACGTACACGTCATTCTCAGACCACTAAGTATATGTCTTATTAAAAGGACACGCTTTCCATCCATTCTTCTACTAACCTTCCTTCTAAGAGGTGACGGCTCTAACCACTGCTCTGCCATGCCGCCAAATTTATTTAGTAGTAGAATAGAAGTTATCTGCTCTAATAAGTGACGCTTATTTGCAAATAATCTGACTGTGGAACAGTTTTTCTTAAACAATTACTTTGATGTGATCTTTAAACTTGCTTTTTTCACAATATTAGGATTTACCTTAATGCAAAGTATTGGGAATATGTTCAAGATGGAGAAATCTGAGTATGTGGCTACAGAATAGATGTTGATCATAATCATTTTATCTTGTATTCTGAAATCTGGAAAAATAAGCAAAGGAAAACAAAACGGATATAAACTGATCAAATTGTTTATTTATCATTCTTTTTAATTGATTTATAAATTTTGTTGTATTTAGGTGCAATGACAGACTACAGAACTACAGACTACTTGTCACCTCATGCCTGTTGAACTGAATAGAGCAGCAACTGGTGTCCATTTAATCTGTAAATCAATTCAAAGATGTCTGATCATGACACTGCAGCTGATTCAGCAGTGCAAGTGCATTTAAGCGCACGTTCAGCAGGAAGTTGAGGAGTGTTTTAACATATTTTGACAGGTTTGCATATATGGATAAAACTGTGAATTTGTAGTGTGTGGGGGTGTGTTGTAGGTTTTCTGGGACAATAATAATGACTGCATTTCAGCACAAGAGTGAGGTCTGCTCTCTCCTGCACAGATGTTCCTGCATGGCTGAAGAGTCTTCGTCTTCATAAATATGCCGCCCTGTTCTCCACAATGACGTACGATGAGATGATGTCACTGACTGAAGAGCAACTGGAGGCACAGGTTCACACACGCACGCACGCCGCGCGCGCACACCCCACCCCCCCCACAGCAACTTGGGTTTACAGCTTGTATTTCTTGTGCAGCTTTGCACGTTTAGCCTGCTGTTTTCTCCTTGAGTGCACGAACCCAAAGGCGTAAATGAAGTTAACAAGGTGTTACAAATGAACATCCGGGAGGTGTTCAGTGATCAGGGAAACCAGTGAGATCTGCTCAGGCTCTTATTATGAAACAGTTGAGTTTATTTATTTAGCGCCAAGTCCCAGCAGAAGTCGTCTCAGGGCACTGAACAGAAACATTCACACACACGAAAAAGTCAATTAGTAAAGTTCTGTATCTTAAGAAGCAGCAGATTGAGTTGAATCTTCACTTCGTCACAGTCTCCCATCCTGAACAAGCACAAAGGAGACAGTGGAAGGAAAAACTCCCTTTTAACAGGAAGAAACCTCCAGCAGAACCAGGTTCAGGGCGAGTGGCCATCTGCGTTGACCGGCTGGTTTGAGAGGACAGGAAGGAGACAGACACAGAATGACAGGTCCAGGTGGACGTTCTATAGGAGGGAAGACAAAAAACACATGTTAAGATGGAAATAATTACTAACACAAACGGGAGTAGAGTAAAGACGGCAACAGAGTGAGGAAGTGTGGTCAGTTTGTCCTCCAGCAGTCTAACCCTATAGCAGCATAACTAAGGGATAGCTCAGGAAACCAAGCCAACCCTAACTATAGGATTTATCAAAAAGCAAAGTTTTAACCCCAATTCTTAAAACTGGACAAAATGTCAGCCTCATGGACAGAACCTGAAAGTTGGTTCCACAAGAGAGGAGCCTGATAACTGAAAGATCTGCCTCCCATTCTGCTTTTTGGAAACTCTAGGAACTGCGAGTAAGCCTGCAGTCTGAGAGCAAAGTGCTCTGTTGAAGCAGATGGCCGCTTGACCTGAGCCTGGTTCTGCTGAAGCTTTCTTCCTCATGAGGGAGTTGTTCCTTTCCACTGTTGCCTCTATGCTTGCTTAGGATGGGAGACTGTGACGAAGTGATGATTCGAAGCGGTCTGCTGGCTCCTTACATGCATATTATTTATTGATTTTTAATTATGAATGTTTCTGTTCAGTGCCCTGAGATGACTTCTGTTGTGACCTGGTGCTAAAACTGAACTGAACTGAATTGTTGGTAAAGTATGGAACAATAAGATTTGTAATAAAAGATGGAACTAGTCTGTTGTAAACAGCCTGACTCAGACTGTGCAACACTGTCAGATGCAACAATAAGCTAACAGCCAGTCAGGAGGGTGGTAGATGGTGAACAATTGTTTCATAATTTCTCAACATATTTTATTGAATAAACTAGAGGCTTCAGCTGCTTCATTGTTGGGCACTTTTCTTTGTTTTGTTCATGTTTTAGGAGGTAACTTGAAAAGGTTTTGTTAGTCTGTTTGTAGCTGATGGTTAATCCAAAACAAAGTTAAAACATCTGCTTCCCCAGCTGGTTTTAAATCAGCGGTTACCTTTCATGAAGAGATGTTGTGCAGTCTGCAAGCTCTTGGAATGTAACGATCTGTTTCGGCTAATAACACCAAATGTAAACTCAATATCTGTAAAACATGAGTAATTGCCATTTTTGTGCAGATTGATTAGCTGGGGCAGCCATCTTGAATCGGATAGGTTCCAAGTGAATCGGTTGTAGATGTTAAGAAGTTGTACATGGTTTCTTGCAGTTTTGTCAATATTCCAGTGGTTCAAGAGCTATTTGCTAACAAAACTGACAAATGAACACACACACACAGACATGGGGAGAAACTGTTTCACCTTTTAGCCCATAGCAGTGGGCGATAATAATTAGGATATTTAAATTGTAGCAAGAGGAGGATATATTGATGAGAACTTTGAGCACGCTGTTGGTCAATGATTAATTCAGAAATTGAAAAGTAACTCGTGAAACGAAAAAGAACAAGACTTTAGTTATTATTCTGGTGTAGAAGAGGGTAAGCGGTGATCAGGAGCAGAAACTTGAGTTTTCTGTTCAGCATCTGTTTGAATGCAAATGGTGGTGCCACAGTGTCTGCAAGTTGAAGTCATCTTGTTGCTGCACGGAGCTTGTAGAAACGTTCATTGCATTGGACACACTTTGAATACAACAATAATAGCAGCTGCTTTATTTGTATCAGAAGACGTTGAGGAATCTATTCTTAACAGCAGGATGCAGCTAAATTAATCCAGCTTCAGCTGCTCAGGAAGCTGTTTACTTCCTCCAGGTGCTGCTAGCTCGGTCTGTCCGTCAGTAATGTGACGAACAGCCACACTGAAACGAGGATAACGAGGTTAAAAATAACCAGTCATTGCCTTATCCATTAAAAAGTGGGCTTGTCGTTTAATCAAGTTTAAAATGAGCTTTTTGTTCTATAATTTCAAAACTACTCTGCCGTTCTGTTTAAAGCTTCATGTTCAAATTAGATCTGAAAGGTGTTTTCATATGAACACAGTTTAAGAATGGTCATCGTACATTTCTCCTTTTTTATCGATGCCGTTGTTTCCTCCTACAGAAAGTCACTAAAGGAGCGAGGCACAAGATTGTCATCAGCATCCAGAAACTCAAAGAGAGGCAGCACCTCCTGCGCAGCCTGGAAAAGGTTCGAGCCCTGTCCACATTTTTTTTACCTTTGTCTTGAAGCTGCTGAGGAGCACACAGAGCTTCACGTCTCACGCTGTGTGAGAGTCTGAGTGTCGGGTCACTCCGGCGGTGTGTGTGTGTCTGCGACTGCCGCAGAACGGAGAGTTTTGAGCTCTGAATTTACGGTAAACTCTTCTGCCTCCCCCCCCGCTGTTCACCTTCCCATTCAGCCGTCAGAGCAAGACAATGATATTCAAGGGCGCGCTGCAGGAGGGACTACTCGGGCAGCTAAATTCAGACGCAACCTTTTCACCGACACTTGGTTTTAAATTGTTACCACTGCGTTCATAGGGCTTGGGAAACATGACACCTGTTGGCTGGTATTTTGGGTTTACACTCTTAAGATAAGGTAGCTCTGTAAAAGGTGTGTGTGTGTGTGGGGGGGGGGGGGGGGGCATGCATGTGGACACAAGTTCTAAATGAAAAGCAGTTGATGTTAGTATTTAATCTCCTTGTCGTGTGTTTAAGACTGTTCTCTTCTGGCGTCTTGGTACAAATAAGTTAAGTGAATGAAACCATGGAAGTAGGTCAGAGATGCAGGTCTTCTAACTGGAACTGTAAATTAAAACGTCAGATAAAATCCTCCTGAACTCTTTCGTTCATTCATGTATCCTTTTACCAGGACGTCTTGGAGGGTGGGAATCTACGCGCCCCATTGCAGGAGCTCCACCAGATGATCATGACTCCCATCAAGGCTTTCGGTGAGGAGTCCTCCCTGCAGCGCCCCCTGCTGACCCCAGAGAGCAAGAGTCCTGCGCCCTGTCCCCATCTCTCTGGGGGAGGAGGAGGGGAGGCAGAGTCTGGCACAAGTGTGATTGCTGATGAGGACCTACCTGGTCAGTTCACTCGTGTCATGGGCAAAGGTGAGCTGCGTGCACATTTAATCTTGACTTCCTGAAGCGAGACTCGTCTTATTCTTTGTCTTTGTCCCGTCCTCAGTTTGTACCCAGCTGCTGGTGTCGAGGCCAGATGAGGACAACATCAGCTCCTACCTGCAGCTCATTGACAAGTGCCTCATCCACGAGGTGGACCCTCCCATGATGATTAAATCTAATATTAGATGACTGACTGCTTGATGAGGCTTTATTTTGAGCAGGTTTAAGTAATGAAGACATGATCTAAACAGAACACAAGGAAAAGACTAAAAGAGCAGTGATCAGTGGGTTTTATGGAAAGATTATAAACAATATCTTATCTGCTGTAGATGGCTCTTTGAACAACCTTTGTTTGGAGAAATTAGAGTTAAATTGAGCTAATTAACGAGCTATCGGCTAGTTGCAGAGCAGCCTTCTGCCGTCTTACAGAACTCTTACAGAGCATGTGTACGCTGCTTTATAAACTTTGACATCACTGTTCCATTTTAATTATATTTACACACAATTTGAAAGAGCAGAAAGCATCAGCAGCATCTTGCTGTAGCACTTTTGTTGCAACCTGGGACGCTTCCAGCAGGAATGTCATATTTGCTTTCGCAAAACGTAATTCAGAATTGACCACTATGTAAAAGTTCTAAAAATTAGAATTTGTGAGCTTCTTTTACTATTCGGATATTGGAGTTTGTTTTAAGATAACAATTTAATTTGTTCTCATAATATTTTTGATTATGTAAACCTAGAAATGTTATTTCAGTTAAATATCCTATTTTCTCACGATGCATGCGATACAAGTGTTACATTTATTGTACTGCAGGATGTGAATTAAAAGTAAACCGGGTCAGTGAAACACAACAGATGTCATTGATCACAGAACAGGCTTGTTTTCTGACTCGCCCTCTGTTTTTGAAAGTTTGATTTAAACCGTCAGTGTGGGGTCTTAAACCTGCTTTATCCTCTAAAATAATTTTCTTGTGATGTGAAAGATGCTTTTTGCTTCATTTTTCTCTTGGTTATGTGAACAATTCTTCTCCCCCTCTGTGTCAGTCCTTCAGTGAGACGCAGAAGAAGAGGCTGTTGTCATGGAAACAGCAGGTCCAGAGGCTCTTCCGGTCCATTCCAAGGAAAACCCTCCTTGACATAGCGGGGTACCGACCGCAGAGGAGGTGCGTTCACAGACACGCTGTAGTTGTTTGTTTTTTATTATGTAATTTATCACAGCATAAATAAATTGGAGTGGTTTGACCTTTATCACTGCTAAAGATATGTTTAATATTGGTTCTACTGAACCAAGGAGTTTAAAGTTTCTTAAAATCAGATGTGCTACTGCTCCAGTACCACGTCATGCTACACTTAAAGGTCCTTGTCCAGAAATCCAGTGCATGTTTTGGCTTTATTCAACTTTTTCTATTCTCCTGCAGTCGTTTCGGTCAGTCCAACTCTCTGCCCACCACTGCCTGTGTGGGGGGCAGTGTGTCGGCCAGGAGGAGCCTCCACCAGTTCCAGATGCCCTCCAGGAGCCTGCCAGCAGCCAGGCTGGGCCTACTGGGCAGCGGGGGGTTACTGGGCCCCACACCTCGCAGCTCCAGCAGCACTCCCACCTGTCCCAAACAGGGCAGACATGTAAGTCAAACCTGAGTAAACCAGCAGAGAGGATGAAGCTGAGTGGAACATGGGCAAATGGAATAATTAGTCTTTGCAGCCTGTACTAATATATCAGAAATATATTCACTGCCTGGCCAAAAACAAAGTCTCCACCAAAAAAAAAAAAAGTCACGCACTGTTTCGATGGACCACCTTTAGATTTGCTGGCATTGTTTTTGATAAGTTTCTGCAATGTCTCAAGAGCCATTTCCATCCAGTGTTGCATTAATTTTTCACCAAGATCTTGCACTGATGACTAGGCACCAGGCATGATGGGTGCATCACTTCACCTGCCTCTCTTCTTACCCTGATGCACCCATCACTCTGGAACAGGGTAAATCTGGACTCATCAGACCACATGACCTTCTTCCATTGCTCCAGAGTCCAATCTTTATGCTCCCTAGCAAATTGAAGCCTTTTTCCAGTTGACCTCACTGATTAGTGGTTTTCTTAAGGCTACACAGATGTTCAGTCCCAATCCCTCGAGTTCCCTTCACATTGTGTGTTTGGAAATGCTCTTACTTTCATTATTAAACAGCCCTGAGTGCCACTGTTGTTTTTCTTCAATATGATTTCACCAAACGTTTTAAGTGATCGACAATCACGATCATTCAGGATTTTTTTTCGGCCACATTTCTTCCTCGAAGACGATGGGTCTCCACTATTCTTCCAGTTTTTAATAATGCCTTGGACAGATCTTAACCCAGTTTTAGTCGTTTCTGCAAACTCTTAGATGTTTTCTCTGCTTGATGCCAATGATTTGACCCTTCTCAATCAGACTGACATCTTTTCCACGACCACGCGATGTGTCTTTCAACATGGTTGTTTAAGAAATGAGAAGCAACTCAATGCACCAGTTAGGGTTAAATAACTTGTTGCCAGCTGAAAGATAATCGCCCATGCAGATCTATCGATTGATTTTGGGGGGGTGGGGGTTCTGGGTTCTGTTTATTTCATTTATGATTCAATGCAATAAAATTAACAAATTTAAAAGGTAACAGATCATTTTAATCTTTGGTTAATTTATACAATGATTTTAATCCCTGGATGTCCGACCCCCGAGCTGTTTGTGTTCAGAAACTGTGTCCCACTGAACAGTTTAGTTGAATAGCCTTGCTCTAAAGTTTTCAGCCAATATATTGGTTATTGGCATTAGCCTGCCTCTCCAAGTATCTGTATCGGCGACACACTAAATGTCCACATCGGTCGGACTCTTGCTGAAAGGCAGAATGTCTCTGTTTTTGTTTACTAAAACCTCCGTAACTTTGCTATACTTTACTTCAGCTGATTAAATCTTTGCACAGGCAATGCCCACATTGAATTTAGTGTTTCCAACAGTTTGCAGCCTTATTCATGTTTTTAAAAGGTTTATATAGTGTATAAAGTAGAAAAACTTCTGTTGAGGTTAAAACAAATCCTGTTTTCTTCTGTGTTCAATCCTCACCGTCTCTGAAACATCAGCAGCTGCAGTGATACTCCTCTGATGAAATATCCCGTGTTGGCTTTATTTTGATACCAAGATAATTAAAATACTTTGTAATCGCTGAGAAAGACTTAATTAATTAATTCAGTTTATATACCATAACATACCACTTTATTTATAAAGCACTTAAAACAGCTACAAGGCCAACCAAAGTGCTGTACAGACAAAACAACAGGTAACACACCAAGCAAAATGCAAAATGAGGTAAATCAGAATATAGACAAACGATGCAGATAATGACGACAAACCAGTGTGGAGCATACAGGTTCAAAACACAGATCATCTTGTGTTGAAAGCTACTGAATAGTAGTGGGTTTTTAAACGGGACTTGAAAACCGAGGGAGGGGGCCTGTCTGACAAGCAGAGGTAACTCGTTCCAAAGTCTTGGTCCTGCTACAGAGAAGGCCCTGTCACCTCTGCACTTAAGACAAGATCCTGGAACTGTGAGAAGCAACTGGTCCGCTGACCTCAGGGAACGTGGTGGGACATACGATTGTAGCAGATCAGAGAGATGGGGGGGGGGGGGGGGCTACACTGTTCAGTGATTTGTAGACATACATGAGTATTTTGAACTGGATTCGAAAGTGAACCAGTAACCAGTGCAGTAAGGCCAAAACTGGTGTAATGTGCTCTCTTTTGCCTGTACTGGTTAAAAATTGGGCTGCTGCATTCTGGACCAGTTGTAGTCGTGCAATGGAGGTCTGACTGATACCAAACAGGAGCGAATTGCAGTAATCAAGCCTAGATGTAATGAATGCATGTATTACTGTCTCCAGGTTATTTTTGGACAATATGGGCTTCAGTTTAGACAGTCGCCTCAGTTGGAAGAAGCATGATTTAACAATCATGTTTACATGATTAAGTTTCAAGGAAGGGTCCGTTATCACTCCCAGATTAGTGACTCTTTGTTTTTCTGACAGGGTTAGAGTGGAGAGGTCGATACAGTTGTTTGTGATCGTGTCGTTGGGAGGAAACAACATGACTTCAGACTTCTTTTCATTGAAACAAGAAATTTAAAGCCATCCAGTCCCTGATGTCAGCCAGGCAGTTGAGCAGCGGTTGAATAGAGCATGTACCATTGTGTCTTAGGGGGAAGTAAATTTGACAGTCATCAGCATAGAAGTGGAAGGGCATGTTGTGTTTCTGGAAAATAGCACCAAGCGGCAGCAGGTATAAAGAGAATAGGAGGGGACCCAGGATGGACCCCTGCGGAACCCCCCATTTAAGCTCTGCCTCTGCGGAACTAAAATCCTTGATGGAGACACAAAAGGATCTGTCAGCGAGGTAAGATCTGAACCAATTGAGGGCTCATCCTGTGATGCCCACCCACTGCTCCAACCTAGCAATGAGGATCTCATGGTCGATGGAGTCAAAGGCAGCTGTGAGGTCCAACAGGACAAGCAGCACAGAATCACCAGTATCTGTGGATCTGAAGATGTTGTTAAAGACCTTCAGCAGGGCAGTTTCAGTGCTGTGGAGAGGTTTAAAGCCAGATTGGAATAGCTCTAAGATGGCGTGATCCTCCAGGAAGCACTTCAACTGGGACTCGACTATTTTCTCCAGTACTTTAGAAACAAATGGGAGTTTGGAGACAGGCCGGAAGTTGGAAACGAGTGAGGGGTCAAGGTTTGGTTTTTTCAGGAGAGGCTGGACAGCAGCATGTTTAAAGGATTTTGGCACCACACCAGTGGATAAACTGTTTACTATGGCAAGAATGGATGGACCTAGAGTTGGAAACACCTCCTTTAGTAGTCATGGGGGGACCACATCAAAGGGGGAGCCAGAAGGTTTCAAGCTGCACATGACCTGCTCTAGAGAAGATAGAGTGATGGTTCAAAATGGTCAAAAGGAGCTACAGATTGAGGTGGGATGGATGGGTCATGAGTTGGAGGGGAAATGACAGCCCTGGTGGTCGCAATTTTTTCCAAAAAGAAATGTAAGAAGTTGTCGCACAGCTCAGTCGAGGCTTCCAGAGGTGATGGTTCAGTGAGGTGGAGAACAGAGTTTAGGGTGGAGAAGAGGACACGTGGGTTGTGAGAGTTTGAGGTAATTATATCAGAAGTATTTGGATTTAGCAGCTTTTACTGCTTTCTGATAACGGTGCCAAATCTCTTAAGTATTTGAAAAGAGACCTGCAGCCTGTCTTTCCTCCACTTTCGCTCCGCCCTCCTACATTGCTGCCTAACGGTCTTGGTGATGTCACTCAGCCACGGTTCTGCTCTCAGTTTTGATTTTCTAGTTTTAACAGGTGCAACATGATCCAGAGTCTTTAAGCAGACAGAGTTGAACTGGGATGTCAGCTCCTCAGTGTGGTGAGAAACACTGGGGCCTGAATTATCATTTCAGAGTTATAAACATCTGTGGAACGTGCAGCAGTGAAGTGGTTAATGGTCCGGGTCCTACGTTCAGGAATGCACGACTTAGGAGTTAGATCGGGGAGGGTGAACTCAAACTGGACTGGCGTGGTCCGAAAAAACATTATCACCAATAACAAGATTATTAACAGTCACATCATGAGTTAAAACAAGGTCCAGTGTATGTCCACGCTCTTGGGTGGGACTGTTTACATGCTGAGTTAAATTAAATGAGTCCAATAAATCTAAAAAGTCCTTAACCAAGTGCTTCTCAGGAAAGCACACGTGCAAATTAAAGTCCCCAATAATGAAAACATGATTATATTTTGGTGTGATTTCAGCCAAGAAATCAGAAAACTCATTTATGAAATCCTTAGAGCGAGGTGGGCGGTAGACGAGTGCAAATAGTCTGAGGTGAATGTCCAAGTTCAAAGACACTCGGCTCAAAGCTGGAGCGGGAAACTGGGATGGGCAGTTGTTTACAGTCAAAAGTTGATTTGAATATTGTTAATAATCCACCACCGCGCCGGCCTGATGGCCGCGGGGCGTTAAAATAGACATTTCGATGGCAATAATTCCGTCAAGGCGCTGGACTCACCCGGAGACTTCCAAGTCTCTGTGATGCACCGAAAGTCGAAATCGTGCTCTTGAAAGTAATCCCTGAGGATAAAAGTTTTGTTGGTAACAGATCTTGCATTGGCCAAACGCATCCGGATATTTTCCGAAGTGGAGCTAGCAGCAGTGGAGCTAGCAGCGGTGGAGTTAGCGCACGCTAATGGCTGCAGGTTTTCAATACCAGCCCCTCCAGGTCGGTCCGAGCTGCGCAATGGCTGACAACTCCCGTTGGTTACCTGGTCCGGGCACACAGGAAGCTGGCGATGGAAACCATGACTGCCAGCTGGAGAGGAAGATGCAGTGCGCAGAGCTTTCAGCTTCACCAGCTGAACAGCACGTTTTCCCCGGCGTCTGAAGTGATATCTCTGGGCAGGGAGGTGAGGAGCGCAGCGGAGGTAAGCTGGCACGTCCGCCAGCAGGGGGGAAGGAAAGGGGGGGGGTGTCCAGAGGTACGCTGATATTGTTCCAAATAAGCGACTTCAGTGACAGAAAAACGAAGATCCAAAAGTTGTTGTCTGTCATACACCAGCAGAGAGTTGATGTCACAGATGTGAAATGCAAAAAAACAAAAATAATCCGAACACCATCAGCAGAGGTGGATTGCAAGCCATGTACACGGGCGCCATTTTACCGGAAGTCTTGGAGCATATAGTGCCAAGTTACAACAGAAGTCATCTCATGGCACTGCATAGATGTGGTTAGATTAAGAAGTTAAGAAGGGACTTGTTGAAAAAGGTTTGTGAACCACTAACCTAATCAGTTTTCTTTACTGTCTTTTAAAAGTTCATTTATTGGGCACACTGTTTGTAACCTCGTGGTTTGTTTCACCACATGTCGTTAACACTTTTCAAAGTTTGTGACTTTACAGAGGAACCTTTGTGACGTGTATTCCACAATGCTTACAATAACCCGGGCAGCAGTTTTCCTCTTTCAGCATATCTTCAAGCTATAAAAAGCTTCTTATTTTTAAGTTTCCTGACAGAAGTGCAGGGTGAGGAGGACGAGCGGCGTGTGCGTGCTGAATGAAGCGAGGTGAATGGAACGCAGAGGCAGGTCACTCCACATACCAGAGCCTCTGCGTCAGCGCCGAGCGCTGAAACAGGAGGAGCTGCGGAGCTGCTACAGGCCCGTCCTGCCTCTGCTCTGACCCAGTTCGGTGGAAAACCATTTTTCTTCACCCCCCCCCCCCCCCAATTTTACAATGGCAGGAAATGTCTCAGTTCCTTCTCATCACACTGGAGCTTCTCTTGTGGATCTTTTCTAGTGGATGTGCAGGGAGAGAAGAGGGGCAGAAGGCTGGGAGGGAAATATGTGAGTCATAGTTTGGAAGATGTCACTGTGGGGGTGTTGGAGGAGGGACAATGAGTGAGTGAGAGAGAGGTAGGGGAGAGGGAGGGAGCCAGGTACAGTGAGAACAGTTCACAGGCATTTCCTGTTTTTCCCTGGCCTGCAGCACTGTAGGGCCGTTAGGGGGGAAAGAGGGGTGGTATAGAGGGGAGGGGTATAATGTGCAGGTTACAGTGAGGAATTCATGTGGTGAACGTCTGAGGCTGTCATTAGGTGTGGGCCAGACACAGGACGGAGTGTGGGGGACAAAAAGTCGTCGTCAGCTGCTTTCATGCTTCCAGACAAAATTTTTTTTCTTTTATGTTTTAGCAAAGTGGTGAAAAACTGACGTACTGAACGATTAGTAAAATAAGAAGGTCGTAGACCTTCGCCTTAACAAAACGAATACTAAAAAACTCCTAGGTTATAAAACGTCTCCCCTGGCTGTGAGTCAAGGAAAAGATTTTAAAATTGTTATAATCTGTTTTTCTTATAATCTGTCTGAAAACTTTTTCTCCTTGGTGTTACTGTTAGGCTGGGAGTCATGAGTCTTTGTTGCTTTTTAACCACTAAACAAAATTTGCTTAGAGGCAAAATATGCACTTAAAGCTAGAACCCAAAACAGCACAGCTCTGTGTTAAAGAAATACATTATTGGTGCATTATAAAGTTCAGGTTTTATAATAAATTGTTGACTTTTATTTCTAGATGTTAAAAAAAATGTTTACAAATAAACATTTCATTGTGCAACTCTCCTTTGGTAAAATTTACACACCAAACAATGACGGGCGTACGTGAATCTTTCTATATTTGTGTAAAATTATTCCAAGTAACTCGGTTTGAAATGATGAGGCATAAAATCAGAGCCAAGATGAAAATTAGGCCAATTCATGGGATATTTAATTGTGACTTGATTAATGTGTTGTCAGAGAGCAGAAACCTTCATTTACCTCAAATTTTATTCAAAGTGTTTAATCATTTTGTTGTGTGGCTGCTTCGAGGTGTAAAAAAAGGTTCCAATTAAAAATTAGGCTGGAAGTCAAAATCCAAGATGTCCACCACCGTGTGTGTGTGTGTGTTAACGACCACCCCTATCATTTAAGGAAACTTTCTAGTTTTTATATTGCTTAAAAGTATATTTTCCACAAGTGAATGGGGTGGCCAAAGATTAATCTGTAGTAGCCAAGGCCACCATTGGCCACCCCTTGGCGACACCATTGCATCTGGTGGTGGATAAAGGTATTCCCTTCACTTACCAAGATTATTATCATGATTATATATTTTTTGTACTCTATTAATCCCCAATGGGGAAATTAATTCTCTGCATTTTTCCCTATTGCACATGTGAGTACACATGTGGAGCAGAGCGCTGTCATCTAAGGTGCCCGGAGAGCAGCTGGGGGGTTATGGGCCTTGCTCATGGGCCCAGAGTGGGGTAAATGAGGGTGGAGGCAGGTGTGAGTGTTTCACCTTTTCCGCCCACATTTTGATGTTGTAAGTTGTGGGAGTTGACCAGTGACCCTCCAATCACAGGCCTAACCTCTGCTCCACCGTTCTCCAAGATCCATCACTCTGTGCTGCTTCTGACAAAAAACCCTAAAAACTTCCCTCTGTTCTTCTCCACAGTGTAACTCCTACCCACTTGAATATCTTGCACCAAAAACATTGTTTATTTGTGTCCCTTGTTCATTTCCAGTCCAGAAAAACAAACACTCGTCTCAAAAGCAATAAATGAGTCTTCGAGGCTCAATGTGATTTATCTGTTTAAATAAAGGTTGAATGAATGAATATACTTTTCAAATCCCTCAGTGATGGGGGGACATGGTACCGCTTGTTTTGTGCGGGTCTTCCATGTTGCTCTATATCTTGATACATGCTCGATAATCCAGGTAGAAAAATCCAAAAAAGTTAAATCTGGTCCTCTGGACATTCCAAAAAACAAAAAACAAAGCAAAAAAAATGTAGAAACGTTTCGTCTCTCATCCGAGAGACTTCCTCAGTCTGAGGTGCTGTATTCAGCTCAGTCTCTTAAATAGCACCTTCTCAGAGTGGATCAACCAGTTTTGCTGCTGACAACCAAAACTAGCTGATCACATGCTCAAGAAGGACCATCAGCCTAACAATGGATCATTAGCACACTGATGGCTGTTTACTGTTCACAGGGGCTGAGTGAGCATAGAGCATGTTGCTCTATGTTTGGATAACAAGCAGATTTATTATACAGAGATTTTAAATAAATAATTATTTTATGTACAGTAGATGTATTTTCATAAACATTATGCTAATGTTGGTCAAACTTTTCCTCAGGGCCCGTGGTTTGCTAACCCCGGGGGAAGCAACAGCATGCCCAGTCGGACCCACAGCTCTGTACAGAGGACCCGCTCCCTGCCTGTTCACACCACACCACAAACCATGGTTACGTTCCAGCAAGCTGGTAAGAAACTCCTCATTTACTATGAACTAAATGCAGATAATAAAAATAAATAATAAATAAAAACTCTTTACTATTTCTGTCATTTTCCAATCAGACCGAAGTTCAAGTCCAGTAGAGATTATGGACGTTCATTTTGATCAGACTCTTGAAGTTTTAGTTTTGGATAATTATCTCAGGAGTCACTTTGATATTTTTTTGACATTTAATTGATGAAAAACACTTTTATTAAATGTGAGTTAGTGTCAAATGCATATCCTAGGCATAAGTTTGTTTTGGCCTTAGTTTTATTTTTATTTAATTTTTGTTAATGATTGAAAGTTTGACATAAATAAGAAAATTAAAATATTAATGCATAAGGAAATGAATGTTTTCCATCTTGTAAACAAAGTTTAAAACTGAAATGTTGTATGATCTGTGTGCACTCTTTTTGGGCGTGACTCTCGGGTACTATCACACTGAACTTTAGCTCGAGAGTCACAAAACTGAACGACTTTTAGCCATTTTTGTTTTGGCTAAGGTTGATTAGATGTGGTGGCCATCTTGAACTGAGTTGACTACTAATGATAACTCTTAAGAGTTTCATCCAAATCTGTTTGAACTAGAGCCCGACTGATACAGAAGTTTTGGCTATCGCCAATAGCGATATTGGGAGGGGAAGGCGACCACAGATAACCGATACAATAGAAAGTGTTATCAAGTGTTGCATAAATTTAAATTTAAACAAACGCTCTTCCCTGTTCATTGTTTAGTCAGCCATGTATGGTGACGGTCTAATTAGTATTGACCACAGCAACGTTTTTTTATTTTTCTTTGCAGAGAAGTAAAGATTTCAGGCAAACAATGCATTTCATTGAGGATGACGATGATAACGTCACTAGCACAGATGTGTGTGTATGTATATATATATATATATATATATATATATATATATATACCTCTAAGTTAGATTTATTGTTTTGGATAAAGTTTAACAATAGCCTATACTAGGTTATCTAAAAAAAAAAATAGCTTGCCAACTTGAGAGGCATGTAGCTAATGACAAGCAGGTTGGAGGATTGAAGAGAATTTGTTATTGCTGATTTGTTTTACAGATCAGTTAAAATAAACTCACCCTGCTCTCTTCAACAAAATATGCTGCACAGTATTGCTCCCTGCTTCGTCTGTGCTGAAAGTGAAACTTAAGTGAGCGGCCATGACTTGAAAGTAGTCTTCATGCGCCCTCTGCTGGATATATTGTACAATTATGGCAGGTTCGCAGCATTTTAGGGGTGAAAATTAGAAATGCTTGTATCGACGCATAATGGGACATTTATCATCAATACCGATAGGTCCCCAAACATCTATATCGACCTAAAATATCAGCCTTACCAATATATTGACCGGGCTCTAGTTTGCAGTGTGTACAAGACAAACACTGTTTCAGATAAGATAAATGCAATTAGACAACACAATATCAATTTATATAGTTTAATTTAGATTATTTGTGTACTCATGTCTGTATTTTAGTGTCATGCAATGTAGTTAAATCTACTTATGAGCACACATTAAAACTAGGGATGCACGATCCACTTTTTTTTACTTCCGATCCAAATACCTGAATCTAAATATCGTCCGATCCTGTTCCGATATCATGATCATCATGGATTTTATATGAGGCTGTAATAATCTCCTCTCAAGTACAATTTGTACAAATATATGCATGCATGTCCAAAAAGGCAACTTGAGGGAAGTTTTATTAAGTTTTAAAGTTAGAATTAAATTCTGTTAACACAAAACACGTTTCTTTTTATTCCTAGTTTTAAAATGGATATTAAAGTGATTAATTTAAGTGATTGTTTAAAGTTATTATTATTATTATTTTTTTAAATAAGGGGCAGATCTAAGAATTGTTTTTCTTCTTTCTGCACTCTTTTCATTCAATGTTTTCTTTTAGATGATTTTTTTTTTAATTCTGTTTCTTTTAAATGAATGAATAAATGAATTGAATAAAATAAAATGTTAAATGTCTTCAAACATCTGCTAAGTTCATGGCATAAACCAACAGACATGTTCCTGTTTTTAGTATTTTACATCACTTTATAATGTAGCTGTTTTTGTTTTTAATATAATTTTCAAATCATATGTTTTTTATGATTGTCTACTGTTGTACTGATAAATATCTCTGGAGGGTAAACTATATCTTGGCTGCTATGGCTCTGCAGACATTGCTGTCTTGTTTTGTGGTGTTTCTAGTGTAAAATACTTCCACACAGCGGACATGTTTAGATGAAAAGTTTGTTAGCTGTTAGCCACAGTGCTGCTAACTCAGCCCTCACGTTGTAGCTGCTGCAAACTATGAACTGGATTTCCTGGATGTGAGGCGGGTCTTATTACTCTGGGTTCATGAGACACGCTGCCGTTCAGGAAATCCATTCCATAGTTTGAAGCCAACGTGCATCATGGATTGGAAATATCGGCAGGTGGATTGGAAAAATCCGATACGTAAATTATACTGGATCGGATCGGCCCCATCCCTAATTAAAACGAGTTCCAGATCCAGAAAGTGTGGTGAGAAAATAAAATAATACAAATAAAATGGCACAATAAAACGCAATTAGATTAAAAACGGTACGGAATAAAAGTGATAATAAAAATGTCTTTACTGAGCCTGGTTTAAAGTTAATTGCTGTGGTCATGCTCCTATAGGAGGTTTAAAGAGAAACATTTTATTTTTATAATCAGCTTTTTAACTTCCAGAAAACAACTGGAATGTTTGCATAAATTACCGACTTGTTGGTCTTTACATTTGCAATCTGCTAATTAGGGCCTAAAACTTGCACCATAAATGTAAACTTTACTGTTATAAGCCATTGTCTACAATAAAATGAGCATGCCATCCTTGTTTCATCTTCATGTTTCATGACAAATTCTATTGATGCTTCTAGTGATTTTATTTTGACATTGTTGAGGAAAGGGAAATTTCCGAAGAAGTCTGATGAGGCACTTTGTTAAATATTGTTTTTAAATATAGAGGTAGATGGACAGGTGTTGTCTCTGGCTGTGCTCAACAAAGATCTGACGGCTGAACCAACTCGTGCAGCTGCTGTTTAATTTCTAAAACTACTGACTTCTCTGTTAGTTCTTCCATTTGTTAAGGTATGACATGGTTCCATCACTTTCTGTTTAGCAGATAAACATTTTCACTAACTTTGAAAATCTTTAGCCGAATTAACTTGAGTTAAATTTAAGTCTGGAAAATTCAAATGTGTTTTAAGACAGTTCTCCACACTAAAAGCGTACAGAAGAATGGTGATTTACACAGAGCGATGATATGCTGTTATGCAGAGCTAAGTAAAGCTAAGCACCACTCTGTAATGTCACCACCCTTGTAGTGCTTTTCCACCCTCATATCTACCACAAACCGTCTGACTCATGGTGTCAGATTACAGCCAATAACAGAGACATGAACATTAATACCAAACCATCCATCCATTATCTTTACCCGGGGGTTACTGGTGCCCATGTCCATGAGCACGAGAGAGGCGGGGTACGCCCGAATAGGAAAATAACATGAAAAACCCATTTCATGCTCAGAAACATTGTAAACGGTCAAACATTGCACATACAATTCCTACCCAGCATGCTCACACTGTCTCTGGGACATGGCTCTCTCACACATGATTTCACACATCTTTACATTAATACAGACTGATGTTATCAATAGAATATTGATGATGACTCACAGAAACTTTGTAGTTAGCTTATAAAAGTAGTTAACCATAAAGAGGAGCTCCAAAACGAGTTACATCTGCCCCCAGTTTTACTATGATACAATATTATATTGATTTGTTTATATGATGATACGATATTTTTCAATATCACAAAGTCTCACGATGTGATTTCATTTCTATTCGATTCACAAGTCTATGATCAACATATTGCGACATCAAATGCCATCCCGTTGACATATAAATAAATCAATAAATTGATTGTACAGTCTTGGTAATTTCAATGATGTGCTGCCTCGACTGTATTATATATCTCTGCTCCAAAGTATGCAGTAGTTCACAAAAGCTGTCATTTTCGACAACACTGTAAGGTCTCATATCTTTACAAATAAAACATGCAATGGCACCTGTGACACTCATCGCTCTTTTTGAACGATTGTTCTTGTGGGAAGAAACTATTCAAAGATGGCGTGGCGTCTGACACGTTAACGCTGGCAGAACTAACATGGCTATCAATGCCGTGTTTCTTCTTCAGGTGAACGGCCAAATTTGTTGTTTCCCGAGTATTTGAACTCACACTGGCACCTGTTGCATACGACATGAGTTTTGTCTGTTGAGCCGTCCTTCTGTTGGAATCCAAAATATTTCCATAGTTGATTTAAATCCAGCAGGAGAGTGAATTTCATGATCTGTGCTTTTTGACTCGGCTGCCATGTTGCTGAGGCGGCCGCAGAGCGCAGCCGCACACGGAAATGGTGACTAGACATGCCTTGGGAATTTCAAAATAAAAGCGTATTTTAAAGACGATGATATGAATTGATGTTTTTGTTGAATCATTAATCATTTAATAGATGTAGATCGGTGTATTGTTACACCCCTAACGTCTACGTATTAAACACGTGTTCACACATGACCAATTCACTACAGCCGGGGAAATACCAGAACTGATGCACCATCACCCCCACCCCTCCTCCCACACTGCACTCCGACCTCCCGGGACGTTTGTATCTAAAATCTAACTCTATATTAAATGTTAATGTGCTCGGAGCCTCGTCATCATTCAGACATGTGCAACTTGATCGTGACCAAACTTCTGGTCTTCAGAAACGGCGCGGCGGCGGCAGTGCTCATCCTGAATGTCACGGTGAGAGAAACTGCGTCTGCTGCTTTATGTCTTAAACAGTATTAACGCTCAAAGATTAATATTTATGTCTCGGATTATAACAGAGATTTGTGCCTCTGTTTAATTTATAATTTTACCCAAACTCTCAAAGTTCTCTCTGAGAGTCAGTTTCAGGTGTTTGTAGTTTATCTTGAATGTCTACAAAATGGATTTCTACACGATGTTTAAACAACAACAACGTGTTGTTCCTGTTTGGATAAGCTAAATGTGATTATATTTAGAAACAAACTGAGAGGTAACTCATGTGATAAATGCAATTTAATAAATGATCCAATATGGAAATAAATGGTTTTAAATGACTACATGTACTCAGATCCTGTAAATATAATTCCTTTGTCCTTAGGGGAGAAATCTCAGTTTTAAAAAAAGTTAATTTCTATGAAGGATTTCCTGTGCTATAATTTAATAAAGTATATCTGACAACCTCTCAGTTGAAAACTGTAATAACATGAAAGTAAACAACAGAAAAGTTGTTCCTTCAGAATGCCTAAATGAATGGAGGGAGGTGTTGATAACTCTGGGTGTATGTAAATATTCAGTCACAAGTTTTTTTTGTAGAGGCAGACAAACCTTCAACAGTTGCATCCTAGTGGGAAAACTCCAGTTCTTAATTTGGGATTAAAAAAATCATATTTATCTTTGAAGCATGATCGTCTGTAGTTAATGTGGTGTGGAAACAAAATGATGATCTGTCTTTATTAAAAAGAAAACTAATCTTTGTAAGATATAAAAACCACTGTGGATGATTTGAGATGTTTCGTCACTGGACTCGCAGCGAGTCCTTGTTTACTCTGTCGTTGGGTGCCAGGCAGGGTGACCTACAGTAACCTCCTCTGACCGGCCCGGCCCACAGGAACAGAGGACAGTAATAGAACAAGTTTCGGCTTCCTCGGCTTTGCCAAAAATGTTCTTCTTTTAAAACGAGGAGGACCCAACAGATTAAAAAAAAAGAAAGCTTCAGAGAGTGGGGAAGTAAGCAGGAGGGAGTGTGAGAGAGAGGAAGAGGAGGAGACATGGAGTGAGGAAAGAGTGAAGAGGCTCACAATGAGCCCCTTTGTGCAGCGAGGACGGGGCTCCCCTCTCTGCTTTCCTTCCCTTCTTGCTCTTCCTGACTCTTTCTTTCTTCTACATCTCTCTTTCTCTCATTCTTCAACTTCTCCCACCCCTCCCCCATCTCTCTTTCTTTGATAACTCTGCAGAGTCATGCACATATAACCTTCTCCCTGAAGGCTAGCTGTGGCTGGGTCTTAGCCAGTCCAATGAAAGGCTACACATCCTCCATTTGTCCCCCCCCCCCCTGCCGTCCCTGTGTTTATATTTGTGATCCTCCCCTCACTCTGGAAGGACAAAGGGCCTTATTAACTCGGACACAGTACAGCAAACGAAAGAATGAGAGAACAAGTGTGAGTTTGTGTATGCTGTTTTGTTTCCCCCCCAATTGTGTGTGTGTGTGTGTGTGTGTGCGCAGGGGGTGACGGTGAGTTTACAACCTATAAATAGCTTCGTGTGGACCAGTAGGTCGAACTCTGCTTGTTCTTCTGACCACACAAGGTTTTTACTGCACTGCCTGAGTCCAGGGCTCAGTTCGGGACTAAATGGCTCGTAGAAGTTGCTAGGCTGCACAGTTTTAAATACACATCCCTCAACACACACGAGCACTTTTCCTGTGTAAACTTCCACAGCCCTGCTCATTCTTGATTCATGAAAACAAGGTGTGACGGATTCAAGTTGAATTTGAATGAAGTTTTTGTTTATTTACCATATAGTCGCCGTCTGTCCAAATGTACGTCTGTGAACTTTCTCTTGCCCCGCCCACAACTTCTGATCCACTCAATATAATTTAATGAATCTTCATAGACATGCACGCCATCACGAGGCTTTATAACCCCAGCTTCAAGGTCTCAAATCAAGGTCAAATGTTATACAAGCTCTTTGCTCGTCTGGGTCATTGATGTAGATTGAGTATAATAGTTTGTCGACGTGCGTAAAATGTGTCACATTCTAGACTAGTTGAGTTTTACATTTTCTAAGTAACATTCCTAATATAGTACTGTTTATTATTTATCAAAGTATTTTTTGTTATTGTATATATTCAGAACGCACACAAAATAAAATAAAATAAAATCATACAAAATCCCCTCCCACCCATACCCTTCCCATACTGGAACAGCTACACAGACGTGTATGCATCAGACAGGCATCAAGATAAGACGAACTCAAACTCAAATATCCAAAAAAGTTCAATCTGGTCCTCTGCAGGGGGATTCAGTTCAGAGGGCCAGATTGAACTTTTTTGGATTTTTCTACCTGGATTATTGAGCATGCATCAGGATATCAAACTCAAATATGTGCATACATAATGATACACAGGCATTTATGACAATTATACAATGTGTTTTGCAAACATGCTTTTAATATTGGATACAAAAGGCTGCCAAGTGTCCCAAAATATCTCAACAGAACCTTTCAGAGTATGTCCAATCTTTTCCAAATGAATATGACACATAACGTCTCTTATTCAGTGTTCATGTACTGGGGGATGTGGATCCTTCTATCTGCATCAAATAAGTCTCCTTGGCTAGAAGAGAGCCAAAAGCAATCATATTCCTCTAGTACTTATTGAAGGATGCATCCACAGGGATCACCCCGAACAGTGAGCCGAGTAGTGACGGGTACACAGTTTTTCCACAAATCTCACAGAAAGTATCAAAAATAGATTGCCAACATGTCCGCAGCTTTGGATAAGTCCAGAATGTGTAAGAGTGTAGCTGGAGTTTGTTTACAACAATTGCATGCAGGATCCATGTTGACTTTGATCTTGGACAGTTGGTCTTTGAACCAATGCAGCCGGTGCATCAACTTGAATTAAATTATAGCGTCTCAGACAGATTGAGGATGAATGAATGTTCTTAATGATCTTTCTCCAGACTGAGTCTGATATGGATTCCTCCAAATCCATTTTCCATTTCACTTTACCAGAGTCCAAACTGGTCTCATGGTATGAACTAAGCAGTCTATAAATCTTGCCGAGGGCCCCTTTAGTGTCAGACCTGCTCTCCAAAATCTTGTTTCTAATCTATTTTATATTATGTTTCATTTGCCATTTTCTCTCCTCATCCTCAGATCATCAGTTATCAGCAACGGAGCCGGACATCAACAATCGCCTTGAGTCTCTGTGTTTGAGTATGACTGAGCACGCCTTAGGAGGTATGTTTTTCATGTTTCACATGTCAGGCGTGTCTCTCTGATTTTTTTTAGTTCATCACTGTAAATATCCATGTCTCACGTCATGCCTGTGATTTATTTTCTGTGTTGAAATCGATCTGCTTTGCTTTGACCTGTCTTGTGCTGATCTAACAAAACCATTACAGTTGTTTTTAGTTTTGCTGCTATTTAATTTAAATTTATTGCATATTACTTTCTATAAGACGAGTTTGATGTACAAGCTTCAACTTTGAGGTGGATAGAAATGTAAAACAAAGACGTAGTCATTGTTACCCGTTTCTGATGATGAGACCTAACAACATTCAATCTGCAGAGCAGTAGCTTTTATTTCAGTCTGGTCTCTACTGGGAGGAGAAGGCTGTCAAACCTGCAGTTAAACACGTACAGTTCTGTGAAAAACAACGCACCGCCTCACAGATCATTTATCTTTTTGTTTTTTTTGTCATGCTTAACTCTTTCATCAAACAAATGTTAATATCAGACAAATCAATCGGAGTAAGCTTTTCAAATGACTGCTTCAAAGCTGTCCATCATTAAATCATAAATAAACTGTGATTAATCGTGCTTTTTGAGAAAGCAGAGTTCAGTTTGACTCGTCACATCCAGGTTTGATTACTGCCGCACTCAAGAAATCACTTAAAACAGCCATTATTTACAAACTGAGGGGAACACTATGAGCCATGAGCTCTGCTCTCCCAGAAAATCCTGAAGAAGAAAATCCACCCATCAGGTGGACATCACCTTCAGTTCAAGACCACCTGGGTTCTGCAGCAGAACAATGATTCCGAGCACAGCAGCAAAATTCTTCCACTGTGGGCGGCCGTGGTGCAGTGGTAGTGGCAGCCGACCTCTGATCGGAAGGTTGGAGGTTCGAATCCTGACTTCCCACACCATGTGCCGTTGTGTCCCTGGGCAAGACACTTAACCCCGAGTTGCTCCCGGTGGGACTGGATGGCGCCTTGCATGGCAGCCTACCGCCACCGGTGTATGAATGTGCGTGTGAATGGGTGGATGGCTGGTACTGTAAAGCGCCTTGGGGCCCCTCATAGGGGGCTGGAAGGCGCTATAGAAGTAAGCTCCATTTACCATTTACCATTCACTGTCACATGAAAGACTCACCACCTATCACAAATTCTTGGTTGGAGCTGTTGCTGCTGGAGGAGGAACATCAAGTCATTGGGTTTAGGGGCCATGTTGGTTTGTATAGCTTTTATCGCCCAGTTAAATCAATTGTTTATTTCTATAGCACCAAATCACAACAAGTTGTCTCAGGGCACTGAACAGAAACATTCATATACATAAAAAAAGCCAATGAGTAAAAGTTTTCTATCTAAGGAAGCAGCAGACAAGTTGAATCATCACGTCATCACATCTCCCATCCTGAGCAAGCACAAAGGCAACAGTGGAAAGAAAAAACTCCTTTTAACAGGAAGAAACCTCCAGCAGAATCAGGCTCGGGATGAGCAGCCATCTGCTTTGACCGGCTGGATTTGAGAGGACAAGGAGAAACAAACACAGAATGACAGGTCCAGATGTATTTTCTATAGTAGGAAAGACAAAAACCATGTTAGGATAGAAATGATTACAAATACGAACGGGTAGAGTAGAGCAAGTAAAGACAGCAGAGACAGGAAATGTGGTCAATTTGTCCTCCAGCAGTCTAAGCCTATAGCAGCATAACTATGGGACAGCTCAGGAAACCAAGGCTACACGAACTATTGGATTGATCAAAAAGGAAAGTCTTAATCCCAGTCTTAAAACTGGACAATGTGTCAGCCAGAAACTGGAAGTTGGTTCCACAAGAGAGGAGCCTGAAAGATCTGTCTCTCATTCTGCTTTTGGAAACTCTAGGAACCACAAGTAAACCTGCAGTCTAGAGCGAAGTGCTCTGCTAGGAAAATATGGAACAATAAGATCAGTAATATAAGATGGAGCTAGGTTGTTGAGAGCTTTGTAGGTTAGAAGAAATGAATGAAATCATCATTTAAAAACTTCATATTTTATTTTCTTAGTTTGTCTTTGTCTGATTTTAACAAATGTTTAAGAGGGCAAGTATTTTTCCAAGCACTTTATTGAGGTTAATTTCATTTTAATTTCCTCCACTTCTTTTGACCCTTACCCTGATGTTAAATCTGATATTTCACACTATTATACCACAGCTGACAGCCTTGTCACCTGATTCTGTCTCCATAAGGCAGTCCAGTTCAGTACTCCCATATTTTATATTTTAAAACACTTGACTCCAGATTTCTTTTAACAAAAATCACCATGTTAATCCACACAGAGATGTTGGATTAAAGTGTTGGAACTATTTTCTTGAACAAACAAAATGAGCTTTGAATCTGTTCACACCTGACCATACAAAACAGACTTAACTGTCAGGTTTCTGCAGAAATCATTCAGGGTGAGAATGAATTCTGGAGCGTTTCTGTCAGCTGGATGGTGTGAACCACACTTGGTCTCAGAGTTTGATACAAAACACACACAGCTCCTTTTGAACCTAATCTACTCAGACTCATTTAATTAAAGTGTCAAATAAAAGCAAAGTACTGCATTTATTATAGCAGCAGGAAGTGTACTAAAACATAATGTTAGAGCTGACAAACTAAGAAGAGTCCAGTAATCAGAGTAAACTAGTCTCATTCATTGAGCACTAAATTTAAAACCAATAAATTCGTGTCTGTAGCAACTTTTCTTTAAAATATAAATAAATACAAACAGTTCAAGTTTGTTTGCCGAATATCAAGTGTCTGACATTTCTACAAGTATTTATTTTATCCATGTTAGGAAAGTTTTACTTAAACCTTAATATTTTAATATTAATTTTCTTTGTAGAAGTTATCAGTTTAAGCCCAGCTGTTGTCTCTTCTGTTTTACAAGTTTTCTCTCCAACAATGTGAAGTTCTGTTAATACTGTGGAGGAGACTTTATTTATTTGATTTCATTTTTAATTAAACTTGCCACCAGTGGGGGGGGGGGGGGGGGGGGGGGGGGGGGGGGGGGCCTGTCCCAGCTAGCCCAGAGCTAACAGCTGCCTGGCTGTTCTCTGTATCAGTATTTTCACAGATGTGGTGGTCTCACCATGAGCCTGCAGGCCTCGACCCCTCACCGTTCACCACATCTGTGGACCTGAGCTCTCACGGGCCCAACGGAAGGGCTGGTGACGGAAACCCACGAGCAGACCGAGGAGGGGCTCGGGTGGCAGGACAGAGCTGACGGGGAGGGACTTGAAATAAGAAATAAAAGAACAAATGGACAGAAACAGGGTGCTGTGAAACAGTTAATCCAGAACAGACGAACTGAAGCCATCGTTAGATCTGAACAGAAAGAACACGGTTCCAGTGGGATCAAGAGAAACTGACGGACTTGATTAGATTAGATGATGGATCAGAACATTTCTGTTGCTTGAATCTCAATTAGACGAGGTCAGCTGATTAATGGAATAATGTTGTCATCTCATTTGTATAATTTCTCAAGAAAACAACAACAACAACAACCTGCAGCTAAATGCTGTTTCAAGTTCTGGTGTCAGCTCAAACATTCAAAGAAGCTGCTGCTCCCAGTTTGGTGCTGGGCAGATGTGAGAACTCAAACCGTTTGTTGTCTCAGCACAGCTGGAACTTGTCCCAGCATGCACTGGGTGATAGACAGGGAAACAGGAAAGGTTGGTTCTTAGAGCCTGAATCCTGGCTGCATATCCAGATTATGTCCACAGTGTTTACCCCAACACTGTGTGGATCCAGATTATGTCTACACTGTTTCCACCAACGCGGTGTAGACCCAGATTATGTACACAATGTTTACACCAACGCTGTGTGGATCAAGATTATGTACACACTGTTTACACCAACACTGTGTAGATCCAGATTA